TGGAGTCTCACGCTGTCACCCAGGCTGGAGTGCAATGGCATTCTTTCAGCTCACTGTAACCTCCTCCTCCTGGGTTCAAGCGATTCTCCTGCCTCAGCTTCCCAAGTAGCTGGGACTACAGACATGTGCCACCATGCCCAGCTAATTTTTGTATTTTTAGAAGAGATGGGGTTTCACTATATTTTGGCAAGGCTGATCTCGAACTTCTGACCTCAGGTGATTCGCCTGCCTCAGCCTCCCAAAGTGCTGGGATTACAGGCGTGACCCACCACACACGGCCAATATAGTAAATGTTATGTATCCAGTTCCCAGTTTCAACAATTGAAGTTATTAACTTTTGATTAATTTTGTTTAATTTATACCCCTTGCAATCCTCTCCCATTAATTTCTTTTTTTTCCTTTTTTTTCTTTTTTTTGGAGATGGAGCCTTCCTCTGTCACTAGGCTGAAGTGCAGTGGCGCGATCCCTGCTCACTGCAACCTCCGCCTCCTAGGTTCAAGCGATTCTCCTTGCTTCAGCCTCCCAAGTAGCTGGGACTACAGGCGCGCACTACCATGCCCAGCTAATTTTTGTATTTTTAGTAGGACAGGGTTTCACCATGTTTGCCAGGATGGTCTCCATCTCTTGACCTTGTGATCTGCCTGCCTTAGCCTCTCAAAGTGCTGGGATTACAGGTGCCAGCCACCGTGCCCGGCTTGTTTTTTTTTTTTTTTCTTCTTTTGAGACCCAGTCTCACTGTATCGTCCAGGCTGGAGTGCAGTGGCATGATCTTGGCTCACTGCAATCTCCATCTCCCAGGTTCAAGCGATTATCCTGCCTCAGCCTCCCAAGTAGCTGGGATTACAGGCATGCACCACCACTCCCAGCTATTTGTTTTGGTATTTTTAGTAAATACAGGGTTTTGCCATGTTGGCCACGCTGGTCTCGAACTCCTGACCTCAAGTGTTCCACCTGCCTTGACCTCCCAGAGTGCTGGGATTACAGGTGTGAACCACCATGCCTGGCCACCATTGTTATTTTCAATAACAGCTTGAGATGGCATTAGCATGTCACACAGTTCATCCATTTAAAGTGTACAGTTCAATGGTTTGTAGTATGTATATTCACAGAGTTGGGCAACCATCACCACTAATTTCTGAACATTTTCATCATCCCCCAAAGAAACCCCATACCCTTTAGCTCACATTGTCTTCCCCCCAGCTCTAAGTGGCTCTCTCCCTAGCAACCATTAATCCACTTTATGTGTATGGATTTGCCTATTGTGAACATCTCATATAAATAGAATCATACAATATTTAATCTTTTGTGACTTGTTTATTTTTCTTAGCATAGTATTTGCAAGATTTGTTCATGTTATAGCATGTGGATGTACTAGATTTTGTTTATTCATAGTTGATGGACATTTGGGTTGTTTCCACTCTGGCTTCTATGAGTAATGCTGCTATAAGCATTCATGTGGAGACATGTGTTTTCATTTCTCTCCGTTATATACCTAGGAGTTTTCTGATTATTTGGTTGTGAATTCAGACATTATCTTTAAACATTTAAGTGTGCCTCTCTCTGAGACAGGACTCTGAAAAACAACCACAATATCATTATCACACCTTAAACAGTTAATGTTAATTGCTCAGTGTGAGGGCCGTGGTGGCTCATGCCTGTAATTCAAGCACTTTGGAGGCCAAGGCGGGTGGATCACCTGAGGTTGGGAGTTCAAGACCAGCCTGACCAACATGGTGAAACCTCGTCTTAAAAAAAAAAAAAAAAGGGAAAAAAATTGCTTAGTGTGATCAGATGGGTTGGGGGATACATTTTGACAGGATTTCCTGATGGATTAGATGTGCTTGTGTGTGTGTGTGTGTGTGTGTGTGAGAGAGAGAGAGAGAGAGAGAGAGAGAGGAAGAGAGAGAAAGGATTAAAAAGGGCTTTTGACAACTGGAGGATGGATTTGCCATCAGCTGATAACAAAGAAAGCCTTGGGTAGATCTGGGTTTTGGGGACTGTCAGAGGTCTTAGAGAGGTTTATTTGGAGAGGACTACTAGGTATCCAAGTAGAAATATTGAGTTTGATAAATGAATATGGAGTTTAGAAAAGAGGTCTAATTAAGCACCAAGATTGGAGTTGAAGCCATGAGACTGGGTAGAACTCCTGCGGGTGTGAACACAGTTACAGAGAAGACACAGTTACACAGTTATATTGTCCCCTAGGACAGTGCCCTGGAGCACTCCAACATGAATTGTGGGAACCCAGTGAGAGTGCCTGGGCAGGAGCAGCCAGCAAGATAGGGAGTAAACCAGGAGAAGGGGCTGTTCTGAAAGCCAAGGGTGGAAAGTAGATTGAGGAGGAAGCGATCAGCTATGTCAGCTGCAGTAGGGTATTCATGGCGACAGTATTGGTGTTAACAGTCAAAATGGCCAAGTTTATTTGGTGTTAAAGTCATCTTCCCTCGCCTGAAGCCTGCTTCCAGAGACCTGTATCAGTACCCGTACCTCCTGGTAGTCGGTCTTCCTGGGCAGGATTTCAAAGGGCTCCAGGCTGGCACTGCCCTGTGTGTTCTGCTTCTAGTTCACCAGAGAACACAAGCAACTCAGCCTGTTCCTCCACCCCGCTGTCTCAGGCTGACAGCCCACTGTTAGATTCCTCAGCACATGTTGTTAGACACCAGATGTCCCCTCTGCCCTTGCCCCTAGTCCCAGGAAACACTCATCAGGCTCTGAGTGGTAAGCCCTCTTACTAGGTGTATGAGTTTCCCAGGGCTGCTGTGAGTGGTTTAAAGCAGCAGACGTGGTCATCTCACAGTCTGGAGACCGGAATTCCACAATCAAGGGTTAGCAAGCCTGCACCCTCAAAGGCTCTAAGAGGGGACCCGCCCTTGCATCTCTCTGGTTCTGGTGGCCCCAGTTATTCCTGGGCCTGTGGCTGCCTCCGTCCAATGATCCCCATATGGCTCCCTCCCCTGTGCGTCTCCCTCTGGCTTCTCCCTTCTGTCTCTCATAAAGACACTGATTGTTGGGTTTAGGGCCCACCCCCATCACCCAGAATGATCTCATCTTGAGATCCTATATCTGCAAAGACCGTTTCCCAAATAAAATCACATTTATATGTTCCAGGGGTTAGAACATGGGCATATCTTTTCAGGGGGCTACCATTCAGCCCATTACACTGGCTGAGGGGCTGGTACCCTCCGCTTCTCCTGCTTGGGGGTGTGTAGGGGTCAGGACATCTCCCTCCACAAACAGTCCTCTCCCGACTCTCCCACCTCTGGTGAAATTCTTCCATTTCCCGCCTTTGGAATGGGAGAAGCACCCTGAGGCACTAGAGGAATTACCATTTTTCTGTTTAAAATGTAGCCCCAGAACTTGTAGGCTCATCCTGCAGGGTAAGGATGTGGGGCTCCTGTGACTCCCCTGCTGCCTTCCTCTTGCAGCCCTGGCCCTGTTGCATGATCAGACACCTCTGGAAGAGCCAGCTGTGTGAGATGGTGCAGCCCAGTGGCGGCCCGGCAGCAGATCAGGACGTGCTGGGCGAAGAGTCTCCTCTGGGGAAGCCGGCCATGTTGCACCTGCCTTCAGAGCAGGGTGCTCCTGAGACCCTGCAGCGCTGCCTGGAGGAGAATCAAGAGCTCCGAGGTGAGGAAAGAGTTGGGACCTCTGCATTTCCTGGGCCTGGGTTGGGGATGTGCTGGCCTCCCTCTTGGTTTCAGGAAGTAGACCCTGAGATGTAGATTAGCAGGGAGGAAGTTTAGAGTGCTCTCAGGACCAGTACTGGGAAGGGAAAGGAGGGACAGTGGAAGAAGCCGGGGTGGGCAGAGGGAGAAGGATGCTGGTGGGCAGGCTCCGGGACAGCCTCAGCCGACCCTACAGGGAACTGTGGATCTGGAATGAACCTTCCAGTTTGGACCAACATGTCCAGGCCTCTGTGTACGTGCACTGAGCACTCACAAAGTGCTGTCCATCCTGGGACAGGGTAGAGTTGGCCCTGGGAAGAGGCGGGGTCTGTCCAGAGAGGGGGTGGGGCCTGTCCTGGAAATGGGCAGGGTCTGCCCTCATAGAGGGGCGGGGGCGGGGTCTGTCTTGGGAAAAGTGCGTCCCCCTCCCAAACACCTCAGCGGAGGTGAAGGCCGACCTCCCATACCCAGCCCAGTGGCTGGGACCAGGGAGTTCTTTCGTAGGCTGCCATCTGGGCATCCCTCATCCTCGTGCTGCTCAGCTCCAGGTCATCATGGGTTCAGGGCTCAGTTGCATGCTCCTGCACGTGCCCTGGGCGTGACGACACCCCCAGCCCCTGCCCCTCTTCCACCCCCCTCCTCACCACTGCTCTGCATGGACCCGGGTTAGCCCAGGGGGGCCAGATGGCACCCGCCATACAATCTTGCCTTTCTGCTGCAGGGCTGTTCTAAACCGCCGGTCCCAGAGCTGCAGGGAGGGGCCACACAGACTCCCCACGTGGCTCACTGGGCGTGGTAGGGCCCGTAGCCCCTTTAGCTTCATCCCTTGGTTCCTGCTGGGGACTTAGGCCTAAGTGTCCATCCTATCCTGGAGGACAACACCCCTTCCTTGCAGCTCAGGGTTTGTCATTCCTGAGCTGGCACCTCAGTTGTGTATTCAATTGGCTTTCTGTGTCCTGGCTGGCTGTCAGCTCTTAGGCGAGGTGGCATGTGCCATGATCAGTGGAGACCACTGTCATGGGCCCATTCCCCTGCCGCCTTTGCTGGACTGTAGTCTGAGATGTTATGTGGGGCTCTGTGCTGACAAGTCACATACTCTGTAGGCTTCAGAGAGTGGCTCTGGCTGGCACCCTATAGGCAGGGAGAAGGCCTATGCCTGCAATGTGTCTTCCTGTCAAGGTGAATCGCCTTTCCTTCCAGGGAGGAAGGCCCAGTGCAGTCAGCTTGCTGTAGAGGGGCTGCTTGGTCTCCTCGAGGGTGAGGCTTAATTGGAGAGTTCCTGCTGGGCCACCTGGGGCTGGAGAATTCTCTTGTGCTTAGAATCTTTAGGGGGAGACTCATGGAAAGAAGTTGAATGTCCGTAGTGTGTGATTCCATTTATGTGACATGTCCCAAAGAGACCAATCTGCAGAGGCAGAGGCAGATGAGGAGGGGCTGGGGAGTTAGATAGTACTGATGGTTGCAGAGCCTTATCGATACACTGAAAACCACTGAATTAGTTAAAATGGTGAATTTGATGTCATGTGAATTTTACCTCAGTTAAGAAAAATATTTTTTTTAAATTAAAACAATTTTTTTTTTTTAAAGATGGGGTTTCACCATGATGGCCAGGCTGGTCTTGAACTCCCGACCTCAGGTGATCCACCCACCTCGGCCTCCCAAAGTGCTAGGATTACAGGCGTGAGCCACCACGCCCAGCCCAAGAATATTTTTAAAAAGACAAGTTGTAGACCGGGCGCAGTGTCTCACGCCTGTAATCCCAGCACTTTGGGAGGCCAAGGCAGGCGGATCACCTGAGGTCAGGAGTTCCAGACCATCCTGGCCAATGTGGTGAAACTCCGTCTCTACTAAAAATACAAAATTAGCTGGGTATGGTGGCGGGCGCCTGTAATCCTAGCTACTGGGGAGGCTGAGGCAGGAGAATTGCTTGAACCCGGGAGGTGGAGGTTGTAGTGAGCCAAGATTGCGCTACTGCACTCCAGCCTGGGTGACAAGAGTGAAACTCCATCTCAAAAAAAAAAAAGACAAGTTGCAGGTGAGCTGAGCTGTGGGCAGAGTGAGCAGGATTCCGATGGGGGATGGGGGAATATTGGCTTGTCAGCAGGCAGTAGTTAGTTGGTTGAGTGTTTTGATCACTGGGTGACATGAAGCTACTGCTTGCCCCATTTTATCCAGCTCTGTAGTTGCTAAACCTTTGCACATCACTATCAGTTTTGTGTTCTCAGATGGCTCCTTCACTACTTGAGGTGTCTCCTGGGTGTGGGGCTCTTCTTCCTGTGGCCTCGGCTGACTGCCTGGCACTGGCACATGCCCTGACGAGGGGCGGACCAGCGGTTTTTCCCGTTTGTTTTCTGCTTTCTTGTTTAACCCTCCTCTTCTTGTAAGATGGATGTTATTGTCTCTGTTGACTATGCAGAGGAGGACTTTGAGGCTCAGAGAAGCCACTAACTTGCCTGGTTCAAGCCTCTGGGCCTCTCAGACTGCAATCAGCAATGCTGCAGTGAAGTTTGCTTGGGAGGCTGACCCTATGAGTCTGCAGGGATGTCAGGACCCCTGATCCAGAAGACAGCAGAGATGTAGGCCGGGAAGGGCCAGTACTGGGCATCCGAGGGCAGGCACACCTCAGACTGGCCAGAAAACAAATGAATTCCAGTCACTGACAAAGAAAGTGGCATAAGGCCAGGCGCAGTGGCTCACGCCTATAATCCCAGCACATTGGGAGGCTCAGGTGGGAGGATCACTTGAGGCCAAGAATTTGAGACCAGCCTGGGCAACATAGCAAGACCCTGTCTCTACAAAATAAAAATTAAAAAAAAGTGGCATTTGACAGAGGGAGGCTCTTGTTCCCCAGGCTGCAGTGCAGTGGCACAATCTTGGCTCAGTGCAACCTCCACCTCCAGGTTCAAGTGATTCTCCTGCCTCAGCCTCCTGAGTAGCCGAGACTACAGGCATACACCACTGCGGCTACTTTTTATATTTTTAGTAGAGACGGGGTTTCATCATGTTGGCCAGGCTAGTCTTGAACTCCTGACCGAGTGAAGCTGATGTGTTTGGTATTTTCCTGGAGAAACTGAGGGGCGTTAGTGTAATTGATTTTGGAAGTGTTGTATTGAGACGCCATCCACCCCTGACAGAGGCTGCATGGAATTATGGGGGGGGGGGCACCAGGATGGTCAGTTAGCCTCCCAGCGTGCTGGGATTACAGGCATGAGACCCTGCGACCCTGCGCCCTGCTTCTGGCCTCTGACTTCCTGAGCCTTAGGCCCCTGTGGGCCCAGGCGGGGCCTGACGGGCCGGGCTACCCAGCTCCCCTTTGCTGTCCCCTCTGCCACCAGATGCCATCCGGCAGAGCAACCAGATGCTGCGGGAGCGCTGTGAGGAGCTTCTGCATTTCCAAGCCAGCCAGAGGGAAGAGAAGGAGTTCCTCATGTGCAAATTCCAGGAGGCCAGGAAACTGGTGGAGAGACTCAGCCTGGAGAAGCTCGACCTGAAGAGGCAGAAGGAGCAGGCCATGCGGGAGGTGGAGCACCTGAAGAGATGCCAGCAGGTAGCCGGGGCCGGAGCAGGCTCAGAAAACCCAAGGGGACGCCCATGTTCCACAAGAGAACCCGTGGTCAGGTCCCCAAGAGCAGCTGGGGCTCAATGCTGTGCTGGGAGGGCTCAGAACTCAGAAAAGCTGTCACACTCCTAGTTGTGGTTTATTGCAAGGAAAGGACACAGTTTACAGTCAGCGAAGGCTCCCCAGGGGAGCTGTGTGGACAGCAGCTGTTTCTTTCAGCAATGGTGTGGGACAGTGCACACAGAGTCACAACCAGGGAAGCTCACCCCTGCTGTGGCAGTTGGGGTTTCCGTGGGGGGTGGGTCATGTAGGCACGGAGCGCCTGGGTGGCCGACTTCGATCACTCAGGCCACAGCCACCAGAGGGCCAGCCGTGTGGCCCAAGGCTCCCCCCATAAATCATGTCGTTAGCGCTGACCACGCGGCTTCAGGGCCTTTGTGTATGGGCTTGGCTGAAGGCAGGAGCCTGGAGACGGGAGTCAGGAAGGGGCTGTGCTGCCTTTGAGGGGCAAGGCGGGGAGATGTGGTGGAGATGACACTTGCTGGCGGGCACCTGGCACTTGCCACAGGCAGGCTCCGCTCCCTTGGGGAAAGGCGTGGACCGTGGGCTGTGCACGCTGCTCCACTCAGGGCTTGGAGCGCCTAGCTTAGGGTGCTGATCTCCCGTGTGGGAAGTGGCTGAGTTTTCTACAGCTGCCATGACCAAGCACCACAGACCGGGGGGCCGAAGCCACAGAAACGAGTGGCCTCCGATTGTGGAGGCCTGGAGGCTGAGCTGGCGGTGGCATCGGCAGGGTGGGCTTGCTGACCCGCCCGGGGCCGTGAGGGAGCTGCCGTCCAGGCCTGTCCCCAGCGCCGGGGGCTGCCGGCTGCACCTCTCCAGTCTGCGTCTCCGTCATCCCGTGGCCTTGTCCCCGCGGGCCTCTGTGCCTGTCCTCCTCTTTTTACAAGGACACCGGCATTGAAGATACATAAAAGCAGGCCTTATGTTTAAGCTGAGGAAAGAGATTTTCTTCAGAAACGCCTGCTTGTGGGGGAG